AGCAAAAATATATATTTTTTAATTTTGACTTTGAGGAAAAGGCCGGAAGAATTCTGTAATTTTTAAATATGGTACTTAAATCCCATATAAACACCAAATGAACAACCCGTTAGTCAGTCCGTCAATACGTAAGAACTTTCTGCCTGTGGCTCCCAGCACATTTGTTGCTACTGAAGATAGAAATCTTTTAAAATGGTACCACGTGAGTTGGCTGGCTGAACTATGTGAGTCAATCAATGAGCTATTCGTCATTAGTCAGTGAATCTAAAGCACAAGAGGAGCAGACAGATAATATTTGAGAGACTGAAAAAGATGGCGGCATCTCCGGAGAACTGCCTTCAGCTCTAGAATGAGGATGCAGGCATTTTCTATAGTGTGTGTGTATGTGTGTGTGTGTGTGTGTGTGTGTGTGTGTGTGTGTGTGTGTGTTTCCCCTACCTGTTCTCAGGGTCTGGTGTGGTCATGGCTCGGGTTACGCAACACATCTTGAGTGGTATGCACCTCCTGTCGCCCTGCAGGGACAGGGAGGGCTGGGTAGGAGAGCTCGGAGGGTCAAATGTGTTGAAGGAGGAGGAGATGATGGTAGGGCTGAGGCGAGGAGACTCAGGAGGGGGGGTTTCCCAGCCGATCTCTGACACCGGGGAGCCCTTTTTGACGTACGGTGTGGCCTCGCGCATGTACTTCACTGGGCAGAAAGGGAAGACAGAGATTTCCAGTATACATTGAGATATGGTACAGACGATAAACTAGGAAATGGAAGTAGCACATTTAGAGATTTAAATGCTCTGGAGATACTTTTGGTCAAAGTGGGGGGTTTAATTTGAAGACATTATTTGGCAGAAGGTATAAAGCATCCCACAGTTTCCTAAGGCACTACACCCGTATAACACAACTACCCAAACTATGTTCAAACGCTGTATATTAAAAAAAAAAAAAAAAAAAAAAAAAAAATCACATTCACAGAATTCAGCTTCACTTAACACTGAAGTCTTTTGCCATTGTTTAAAAAAAATGTAATACAGAGGCCAATTCAAATCTGAGAAGAATCTCCTGTATGTTGGAGCATTTAGTCATCTTTTGACGTGGACCCCATTTATTATATCAGACGCACCAAGCAGATTGTTGTTTAAAAAGGCTCACACACTGTTGAAGATAGTTCGTCTCAGAAACAGGATGTGGGGATACCACAGTTTAGATACAGAGCAGAAATAGAAACTGCTTAATTGTGGTACCTTTGAGGCATTTCGCAAGTATTAAAGACTGTCATGGGGCGTCAGATTGAGAGATAACTCTCGGCAATATCTCCGTGCATAAATGATGCTTGAACTCAGGAAGTGTCTGGAAACTGTTTTTGAGTTGAGTCTGTTCAGGTTTGCATGAAAGGGTGAATTTTCTTCAAAGTAGACCTAAATCCATATGTTAAATATCAAAATAAATTGGTGTACAGCTTGTTATTCTACCATGCAAATAAAGCGGTGCATGCAGTCCTAAAACCAGTGAACCGTCTGTACCTCCAGAGCCTCCAATACTCCCTGATAGGACAGTCACAATCAATTTATGCTGCCAAATACCTCAGAAACTGCCATATCCACAAAGTAAAACATCAGGCTTTACTTGTAAATGTCAAACTCAATCACTGGAGGCTTGACAACCATTTTAACTTCCCCGTGTTTTTAGGTTTTGAGAAGGGGAGAAGAAAAGAGAAGACAGGACACATGTTTTAGCAAAGGACAGAAATGGAGAGGCAGAAATGAAATGGGTGCTCAGTACGCTTTCAATGTCCTGAATGTTCTGAATCCTCGGTATGCCCTGGATGTTTAATTGGCATATCCTACTGTACGCGCCGCGTATAATTGGCATATGGCTGGTGGCATTTGTAATGCAGCAAGTGAACTATTCTTGGAAGAAGCACTGTGAACCCCTGTGAGACAGTGTAACAAGCCTGACTGTCAACCTGTAGAGGAGAGATGACAGGCTGACACATAACACAGAGGAGGAGACGGTGCGACGATGTGAGCGTGTCCTCGATGGACCTGTGGTGACGACGTGATCCAATTACACAGCAAAATAACCCACACGGTCTAATCAGATTATAGGACTGAAAAATCCATTCGTTAAAATGCATCATAACAAGATACAATACAAGTAGATTCAATGGACTGAAAAGATCGAATCGCCTGCAGTTGGATGACAACCTTGTGTGGTTATGTTCGCTAGGAGGCATTGATGAGACTGAAGTGACACAAAGGCACATGTAGGATTTGGATTTAGAAAGGAAACCGCAACAAGGTCTTCAAATTTAAGATAGGCTTAGTACAAAGATACACACACTAACACACACTGTCTGCCTGATCTCCTGTGTGTGTCTGGACTTTGGAAATGACACACACACACACACACACACACACCCACACACACACACACACACAGCTGCTGCTGCTGCTGCTATCAAATGCAGTATTTAATTTTATGATAGTGGCAAACTGTAGCCATTTAAACACAATTGCTGTTGGGAATATAATTATTGTATGATACAACCGGCGAGTGTTGGGGGGGGGGGGGGGGTCGCTATCAAAGGGAAATCTGAAGCAGTTATAAATCAAAACCTACAACTCCAGAGGACTCCCATTAACCTCTTGCTTCGACCATAAATCTGGCTTTAGACTTTACAGGGCTTCACTTTAGACAAACAGAGTAGCACTGAAACAATTAATGTCGATGGATACAAATCTCTATAACTTAAAGCCAGAAACTCCCTGGTTTCAGGGTCTACAATGTTTGGCTTTCTCAGCTTTCTATCATTTTAAATCAAATTTCTTTGGGTTTTGGACTGTTGGTGTGTTTTTTTTTTTATATGATTAATCAAGTAATTAATACATTTTGCAGTCTTAATGAGGACAAATAATTTTTACTTTGAACACAAATGATATTACAATTATGTGGCCTAACAGCTCAGTCTTTGGTTATTTACAGTCCACTTTCTGAACTGACTTAATTAAAACAAATCAAATGCAGCTTTAACACAAACTTAATGCTAAGTGTGTGATTTGTCTTTAGTTAACATTTACAATTGGCAGTCTGGAGAGAGGAAACGTAAACTCATGGACCAGCGTCACTGTGCCCAGAAATAGAGCTGTAACTGTTTCCAGCGGAGGGGAAAATTAACGGGGTGGAGTCCCTGTGATCATTACACTGGAAGTGTTTGACTGTGTGTGCATTCCCCTGGGTTGTGTTTCTATTTCATTACAGCACCAGCACAGCCAACTCTGCACAATAACCTCAATAGCACGATAAGAACTTGGAGAGGATATGGCTCGTACTGATTGGACCTGCATTTGAAAGCAACAGTTACGTAAGTCAAACAAAAAGATCCCAAATCCAAATGACCTCCCCCATCTGTCTGATTTTAGTTTCCATTTTTTTTGGCTTGTGCTTGAGACAAAGTGAGAGCACACACACACACACACACACACACACACACACACACACACACACAC